GAGTATAACCGGAGTGCACAGAACAAAAGGATAAGGAACAGAAAATGACTGCAGGGTAAGCTGGGACTGGGAAGGACTAAATCACTACTCTCAAGGTTTTGCTTCCATCTATAAGGAAGAAGTCAGTGATTATCGTATCCTATTTTCTGTACTACAACTGAATATTACAGACTGGGGGATTTTCATTCAGCTAGTGCTTCTGGAGAGTGAGAGGTCAAGGGACTGCATTTGGTACAGGTCTTCTTGTGGGTGGGGACTCTATCATCCCAAAACAGGGTAGGGTATCACATGGCAACAAGGGTACGTACAAGAGGCAGAGACAAACGGGTTTTTATAATAGATCTGCTTTTGAGATAATCCATTAACCATTAAATCATTAGTCCATGAATGGATTAATCCATTCATGAAGGCAGAGTTCTCATGACTCAATAACCTCTTAATAGGCCTACTTCCGCATATCTTACAATGAGGGTTAAATTTCAGCAGGGGTTTTGGTGGGTACAAGTAAACCACAGCAGTAACTATGTAGAGTAGCTGGGGAAGGCCTGGACCCAGAGTCTTAGTAAAGTTGGGAAGGAAGGGATGTACTCTGAACTAGCTAGTTTAAGTAATTCCTCTGCTAAACTCTGGAATTAAGGATGATATCTCTGGCCTCCCTGTCCCCTAGTTTAGTCCAACAGTGCTCAAACAAATGGCTCTTGGCCAATTCTCATTAAATAATGGACATTGCTTGTGCCTTGTGAGAAAAATAGAAATCTTCCACTCTCGAAAGAAACACTGTTGTCTTTTAAGGATAAGGTTGTACCATAGAGATGCCATGATATATTCAAGAACCCCTTATTTATCATTTTTCTTTGAAGGATAATCCTTCTGCTTAAATAAAAGTATGACTTAATCACCAAGCATGGGTCATGAAGACTGAAAACTAAACATATGTGTGGTATTTAAAGCACTGATTAATAAAGACAGGAGAAAATGCTGGTTTAGAAACAAGTTATTAGAAGGCCTGGGGAATGGAGAGTCAGAGAAATAACATCAATGTGAAACGAAGGTCCTTACAGGATGACTGAAATGTTCTACACCTTGGGAGTGATCAGGTTCATAAGAGTAAATATTTGCCAGAATTTAGGATCCGGGCCCTTAAGATATGTTCATCTTAGTATATGTAAATTATGACACTTTAATAAAGTTTATATAAAAATAAATAAAATTTATTGAAATTATTTCTTCCCCATTTAACAGCTCTATAAGAATTCAAATCCCTTTGTGAAAGCCAGTTTACAAGAACTTAATACTGCCCTGAATTTTTTGGTGCCACCTACAGACTAGTTTCTGCGCAGGCAACAGAGGGCACACAGGTGAATGACACAAACAAAGCCCTTTAGAGAGGGAATCAGAGCAGCTGCCAATACAAGATGTGAAAACAAACATCATTTAGCTCTTGTCAGCTTCTTAGGCTTAAGGAGCAGATCTGAGAAGGAAAAGAAAATGCTTCTTAATCCAGATCAAAATAAGCCTGGCGTATTTGCTGTGATGGTGATTCCTGCCAACAGAAGAGCGTTGTGATTTGATTTGGGGCTAATTCTAATGCCTGTAACAATCTCAAACATAAAGCTAAGTCATTCTGATATGGAGCTAGATCCTCAGGTATAAACCTAGCACTGGGGATTATTTCTTACTGTAGCATACATCTTTGTATAAGCTGTAGCAATGGATCCTGAACAATTAACTGAATGGTATGAATTGCTGGGTTAAGTTTCTTCTTACCCAGCTGATTCCAATAACTTATCACAATCCAGCTTAATGTGGACTTTTGCTTTGTTAATTCTAGCCCATTAGGCTCAAGTCCAACAACTTAATGAACAGTGGGAGGATGGGAGAGGTCCACTGGAAACAGAAAGGGGGCGGGCTATACTTGGTGAACTTGAAAATGAACCATAATGCTGGAAGATGATCTCAGATATCGCCTTACCTGACATCTCCCAGTATGACAATGAAGACGCAGTGAAGTTAAGTGGCTTTGCCAAATACGCGTGTGTGAGCTGTTTTGCCCAGGCATTCAAAGCAAGGTCTTCTGCCTTTCCGTACTGGACCACATAGCCTTCATTTTAAACCTCAACTTTTATGTATGAATAGTCCTATGTCTAAATGTCCATTCTTCCATCTGGCCAAGTTGGAAGAAACCTAGTCTCCATTTGGAAACCTTCCAAAGAAGAAAAACATATATGTGTTGGCCACTCATGCCAGGATTTCATAGGCTTCTCTACCAGAAATTTCTGTGTGCTATTCCCCCCAAACCTGCTTTACAAAATGCCACAATTACTTCCTTTGAGCAAATAAGGATTTTAATCATTCTCTTTTTACTTGATTTTAATTCTCTGAAGAGCTGCCACTCCATTTGCAACAGCTAATGTGCAAAAACTTCTCTTATAATGAAAGTCAAACTTCTTTTGGTAGCCCAGAATTTCAGCATTTTAAGAAGTTAAGTAGCTCCATCCTCACTCATTAAATTAGACTCAAATTGGAGAAGAGAATTACATACTCAAAAAACACAGACACAAAGTGATGGGTTAATGTTATACGTTAGTATAACACATTGTGACATACAGTCGGAGCATTAGACCAATTAGCAAGCAAGTGTTCAGCCAGGGTTCATCTTTTCTGCGAGTTATGTAGCAAAAGGATGGCAACTTGAAGGATGGCATTTATCAAACCTCTGTGGATAGAAAGTTCCCACATTAGTGACATGAACTGCATTCATTTAACAGAAGCAGCACTGCGTCGCCTGCAAAGACTCACCAGGAGAATTGCCCCTGAATTTGCCTTTGCATTTCTGACTTTATTTCTAGAAATTACTGAAATCATTGCCATTGTTCCTGAATTAATGCTTTAATACGTTCTAAATTTGTCTTGCATTTTCTTGAGAACTAGCAAATCATAAGTGATACTGTTTAGCAAGCTTTTTGGTTTGAGTAGCTCCCCTCCCCCTCTATTCTAGTCTTGCTTTCATCTCCATCTGATTGGTAACAGAAAGGTGAGGGAAACAGTAAATCTCCTATTTCTTCCTCATGTGAATGCCCAAGATACTGTCAGAAGCAAAATTATGGGAAGGTGGGGCGGGGGTGGAGTGTGGGTCAGTGACTTGGAAGGGGGGATGGTTTTCTGCTGGGGTAAAGCAGAAAAACTGTCACCAAGTTTAAATTAACAGAATCTGCCCGGAGGAAAGCTGTAGTCTTTGTGTGGCTGATTAATGTCAGCCTTGTAAACTCAGCACTCCAACACCAGGGGTGCCCTGCTGAGCAGGGAACTTGCAGAACAGTGTATCTCTTCCTTCAGGGATCAGAGCCCTGCCAAATGCTCCTGAATAAGGCCAGGAGAGAGAGCTGCAGACCTGGACCTAGGTGATGTTTTTAATTAGACTTCAGCTCTCTGTCTCAGTGAAGCAAACACACACAGCCGTTAAATGCTCCTTCCTCTTGGGCTTTCTGCTGCTGAGCCCGACGACCAACTTCTTACCGCTCCTAATTCAGCAGTTCCAGAGCAGTGAGTCAGAAATTACCTCCCTGAAAGATATTTGGGCCTGAAGAAGCTAACTGTCCAGGCACAGATGCCCTAAAACCCCAAGGGGACTGAGCAAGGAACCTAAGGAAAATAGGGCTTTGCTTGGTATCTCTCAGGCCTGCCTCAAATTTCTGGTGGCAGCAGACAAGTTCCTCAACCCTTGGTTTATGTGTCAGTGAAATGGGTTTATAGTTGTCAAAACACAGTCAGATAAAAGATCCTATAGGCATTTCCTGCCCTCCTGCTTGCTCTTCTTATTGGCAAAAATAGTCTACCATATGTTGCAGTGGAATTCAGATTTGTAGGGAATATGTGTGATTTGCAAACCTATGTTGTGTATTTATGTCAATTACTGCTGTATTTCCATAAATGCACCTTCATGACTTTGAGCAGCGTCCTGAGACTGCCGAATCAGTCGAGGTAGCCTGTAAAGCATGTACTCTTCTGACACCAAGGAAGGGCTCTTAGTTTTCAGTGCAAGCTCAATCACCCCAACAGTCCCCCATATTTTCAGTCTAAGAACTTACATCAGAGAATTTAATCTTGTGTCACTCCAAAACTACCGGAAAGCACCCTAAAAGCTCTGCTCTAGACCTGTACTTCATGGGACAGCAAGCAAAAAAAGAAAACACTTTTATTTGCAACCTCAGCACAAATACAATCAGAGCTGATATTTATATATCACTGAGTGATTGTTCGGAAAGAGAAATAAAAGTAAATGATGAAACTTTGGGGAAAAAGGAACTCTCTGGAATGGAACCAAGAGCAAGATCTCCATGTTGACCTTTTGGTCAAAGCCACATAATGAGATTTATGTCATCCCCTTCAGAGATACGATTTTATTAGTTCGCTGGGAATTTAGATTTAAGGGAAATTATACATTGGGGAAGGAAAATGTTTAACATCTACTCTTAGCAAATGTCTACTTTCTTGGTGAGGTGTTAGGAAAAACACAATTAGTCCTCAGCTTATATTCAAGGGTTCCATGAGTCACAAGAGGTATTTTCAGATAGTTGTCATAGCAAGAGCCCTCTGAGTGATGACCATCTCAAGAGCACTTATAGTCACAATGGTGCTACCATTTCTCCACCTATGAATTGTAATGGCTAAAAGCTCATTACAAAAAGGTAAAATAGAAAAGACGCTCATGTATCTCTGAGCATCTCAGAGTTTTTCTTAAAGATCTGAGGTGAGGCTATATATTAAGAATAACCAATTAATTCTGATATTTGTTGCCAATATTTTTCCAGTTTCTTTAGCTTTTAATTTAATTGTATGTTATTTACAAACTGAAGTTTACATTTCTGTGAGACCATCACTGTTTCTGTAAGGACCGTTTTTCCCTGGTGACCCTTCAGAAATCAACAAAGCTGTAATATTTTAGTTCAGAGCACCTGGTTGTGTTCCTGGCCTTCACCTTCTTGTGTTATCTCCCACAGGCGTCAACAGGAAGGTGCTGTACTCTCTGGCGTTCTCAGCCAATGGCTTCTTCTCCATCGACAGCACGTCTGGTATCATCATCTTGGAGCAGCCACTGGACCGAGAACAGCAGTCTTCCTACAACATCAGTGTGCGAGCCACCGACCAGAGTCCGGGACAGTCCCTTTCCTCTACTGCCACTGTCACTATTACTGTCCTGGACATCAACGACAACCCACCTGTGTTTGAGAGGAGGGACTACCTGGTGACAGTGCCTGAGGACACCTCTCCCGGCACCCAAGTTCTAGCTGTTTTTGCCACCAGCAAAGACATTGGTACAAATGCTGAGATTACATATCTTATCCGGTCTGGAAATGAACAGGGAAAATTTAGGATCAATCCAAAGACAGGTGGGTAATCACAATATATTTGCATTCAAGGCTGCACTGTATCCTGCTTCTCCTTTCAACACTCAAACCACCATCCTTGGCAGGCTCTTTTTCCTTCTCCCTCCTTCACAGAAAAAGAAAGTGTTTTGGTGGCAGGATTTTCATGCAGACCCAGGATACACCTGGTGCACTGCTTCCTGCTAAATTTCAAGCTTCTAGTTACAGGCCTACTTGGCAAATGCTTGACTCTCAAATTGACTTCCGGAGGACTTGGAAGCACTCATATGCTTCCTCAATGTGGAGACAAAGCAGTGTTCATATTCCAAGCAAAAGAATTTGTTTGCATCTCTCCCCCAACCCCAACTTGGACCCTATTGCATGTGTTGGGAAGCGCTCCTGGAAATGAGCCTCCACTTCCCACTGACTCACCTACACCACTCCTGGCCCTTGGCCAAGACAGACACCGACTGTGCTCTGCATGGTGACCTGCAGGCCTTCCCAAACCAGAACCCCAAGTAGACTCCTCAGTGGACTGGAAACGGTGCTGCACCTGAACCCTGCTCACTCTTCTTAGTCACACTACCATCATTCCTTGCTATGCTCTTTTCAAACTCTGTGCAGCATCATCTAGGAAAAAGTTGCATAAATCTCAAACGAACAGGAGAGCTGTTAGTCCTTTTCTTCATCAGCAAGTTAATTAGTCATAAAGGCAATTTGGGGAAATAAAATCATAATTCAAGAAAGAAGTTTGGATATCCTTCAAAAACTAAACATACTCATTCTTTATTTTCCTACTGTTTGGATTTCTGCTTAAAATCCCTTTCACGTGTATTCTCATTTGTTTACTGATTCCTCCATAAATAGTCAAGGTAGTTCCCAATTTTCAGATAAGAAGTCTTTTCCGTCTCCCGCCTCTGAATCTATGTCCCTCATCACTTAAGTACTATGTACCTGTTAAGCAAGGTGGCAAAGAAGATACGCTCTCTTTTGGGTAGTCAGCACCTACAAGGAAGTTTGCATAGTTAGCAATGTGTTTTTAACATGGCAAATATGCTCAATTCCTATTAAATCTTTAGATATTCCTCACATTTTCCAGCTGGGAAAGACAAATCCGTAGAAGGTAAATGACTTCCCCAGTGTCCACTGTTAATAAGTAGGTTATTCAGGGTTTGAACTCAGATCTTCCTGACTCTGGAATGCTGGTTCCAACCTTGATATAATATAGCACTACTAACTGATGAGATGCAAAAAGTGCAGGAGACACTGTGCTTACCCTAAATTATAAGTGGATAGAAATACTGATGGAGGAACTGCATTAGCAGTATCTCTTTTCACAGCAATATCTCTGTTTATTAAGGTCATTATTTCAAATTAAAATGTATTGGGGTTTCCTTCATTTAAATATGTGTTAACTTTTGCCTATCTAGTTACAACCATTGTATATAAACACCATGGGGAAATAGTTAAGTAGTATTTAAATTTGGTGCTGGATAGCAAGATTAGGATGCAAAATAAAGCACTGGGGTATAAGAGCTAAGAAAATTTCATTCCTCAAAGAGAAAGGCTCTTGTTATTGGTATGATTTATTGGTATGAAAAGGTAGGAGCCTATTGGCAATCTTAGCAAGTTCTCCATTTTGTGTATAGCTGTGACTTTCTCATCTGTCCTCCTGTTTCCAGTTGAGAGAAAGGCAAATTTCCTTGAGAACTGCTCTGCTGCTGTACAATGACCAGCTACCAGCTGCAGAACATAGGACTGAATCACCTCACCAGGATAAGCTGAGATAAGACCTACGTAGCACTCATAGAGCTCTTCCGAGAGATGGCACCCAACTAGCTACTTTTCCTTACTTTACTTACTTAATTTTAATAATTCTGCGATATGGGATTACCATCTATACTCTGTAAGTGTGGATATTGAACTCAAACTTGATATTTGACTACTGGGTTGTCTGATTCCCAGGTAGTTCTTTTGGCTTTATGTCACTTACACCTTGAGCTTCCAGAATTCTTTCCCTTCTTTGCACCATAGTAGTTTTATGTACATGCATTATAATTTGGCAAATGATCTTTCTGGTTAAGTAAATTCAGCTTAAGTCTACAGGTATTTACACGCTGACAGGGAGCAGTGTCATACAATCACATCCACACATCTCAACTCATTCTTAGTCTTCTTGAGTTTTGAAATCAAGAGAAAGTTATCAGAGGTGCTTGTCACTATCCCTACTCCTGAGATACAGAAGCAGAGATTTTCATGCTGTGTCAGAGATATATCTAAGAAAAGAAACTGTTATAGAAACTTACAAAGATTTTTCTGCTTTAGTATTGTATTTGATGTATAGCTGTGCTTTAACTGATAACATTAATCAGACTTCTGGAATGCTTCCAGGGGGACATTAAGTAAAATCCTGAATATTTGTAATTCCTGGCTGAAAGTCTTATTACAAATATGACCACAATTATGGAACAGATGACCAATGTTTTTCCCAAGTCAAACCTAAAGTTTCTCATTTTTGTTCAAAGGGGGTATTTCTGTCTCTGAAGCCCTAGACTACGAATTATGCAAAAGATTTTACCTGGTTGTGGAAGCTAAAGACGGGGGAACCCCAGCTCTCAGTGCTGCAGCCACTGTCAGCATCAACCTCACAGATGTGAATGACAACCCTCCCAAGTTCAGCCAAGATGTCTACAGTGCTGTCATCAGTGAGGATGCCATGGTGGGGGACTCTGTCATTTTGGTAGGTGACAGGGGTGTCTAGATGTTTCACAGTTTGACTTCACAGTTCTTCCTTGTGTCTCCAAGAATGCCAGTCAGATCTGCATCTTGCAGTGATCTATTCTCCAGTTTGTGCATTAGAAAGAACCTGAAAGATTAATTTATATCAAGGCACAAATGATTAATAAACTCTTTTCAACCAGAAAAGCATACTTTTCAAGAAACCAAGACAGACCATGACATGAACATTTAATGATGGTTTCTACTCACTTGTGAATTTGGATGGTGCTATTGGGTATATAGAAGATCACTCTTCTTTTTTTGAGCTCCACTACACAACATGGTGAATAAAGAATGTATTGTATATTTTGAACTCAATATAAAGATAATAAGCATTTGAAGTGATAGATATGTTAATTTTTCATTTAATTTCTCTCCATGGTTTTCATAAAACATGACATCACTTTGTGTTTCATAAATATATCAACTCTAATTTGCCATTTTATATTTTAATAAATTAATAGGTGACTAAATATAGAATAAAATTCTCACCCCCACATACACAGAGTAGGGTAGCTATAAATGGGAGTAAGTTTGAGATTGCCCAGTCTTATAGGAGCCCTTCATGAAGTATTTTTTTTAAAATAACACTTAGAAGAATAAGCCCAGTATTCTGAGAACCCAGGTTCCATGAGACTACAAATTACATTTTTTTTTTTTTTTTAATTTTTTTTGATTTTGATTTTTCTCTGGTACCGGGAACCGAACTCACGACCTTGCGCTTGCCAGGCAGGCGCTTTTGCCGCTGAGCTAAATCCCCAGCCCCACAAATTACATTTTAGAAACAGTGAGAACCTTGCTTGCTGTCCTTACAGACTCTTAAAAGTTGGGCAAGTCTCATCCATCCATCCACGCACCTATGTGTCTATCTGTTCTGTAGTTCCCGCAGTCTCAGGTTGTATCTGCAACCCTCCTCTGGATGACTGTTCATTCTTTACACATCACATAGACTTTCCAGGCCTTCTGAGCCTCCTGAGTAGTACAAGACTCTGTCCATGCTGGTAAATCCCAACCTTACTGTCTTGGTTACTTTTTTCTCGCTGCTGGGACAAAATACCTGACGCCCAAAATTAAGGAAGGAAAGGTTTATTTCGCTTACAGTTCATGGAAGTTTTAATCCGTACTTGGCAGATTATAAGGCAGAGTGGCACATTGCAGAGAGCTGCATCTCAGGGCAGCAGCACACAGCTAACCTGCAAGCACTCACCAGGGTGGAATGGGGGAGGAATGCCCCCAAGCAGCTTCTTCCTCTCCCTTACATATGCAAACTATCCACTCCAGGGCGGGTGCAGCTCTCACACCCATATTCAAACTCTAATAGCCTGCCCAGGGCCACAGCAGGCTTTGGGGGGACACACAGACATAAACCATAACACTTACCGATTAGCAATCACGTTTGTTGTGTGATAAAGGGGAGCTTTCCTGTTATTCCTTATGTAGAGATGTGTGGGTTTGAAGAATGTCCAACTCAGTAACAGAGACCACTGTTTAGAGAATTGAGAAGGAATCATAGGAACATCCCCATCAGTGAGCTTTGGCTCCATTTTCACTGTCTTCAAATGTGAGGAAAATCAAGCCTAATAAGTATCAGGCTGTAAGCAGGTGGAAATTGACAAAAAACCAAAATGGGGCTCCAGCGTCCATCCATCATCTCTTCCACTTAAGGCTGACCACTGACATTGGTGAGCAGAGGTCCTAGGGACTGTCAGACTTAGGATTCTAATAATAACCCTTTTTTCTCTGGAGTCAAATCTTACTTTTGTTTTGCTTGTTTTCTGTGAAGCTAATCGCAGAAGATGTAGACAGCCAGCCTAATGGACAGATCCACTTTTCCATTGTGAGTGGAGACCGAGACAATGAGTTCACTGTGGATCCTGTCTTGGGACTTGTGAAGGTTAAGAAGAAATTGGACCGGGAACGGGTAAGCTCGTTTGGGTCAGCTCCCTTCCCATCCCACATCTACCCCTTCCCTGGAATCACTGGTACAGGTTGCAGAAGTGTAAAGAACAAGATTCTCTATTCTAAAAAAGAGTAAATAGGGATGGGATACAATACAGCAGAAAGAAGTATTTGGGTTAGATTTTTAAAAGAATTTTCTGCCAATAATAGCTACTAGAAATTTCTTATTGATAAAGGTTTTAAGGAAAAGATATGTATGTATCTTTCTGGGTCATTTGAATGTCAGTCCTTCCTAGAGCAAGGGACAGAAAAGTATATACGGTACTGATTTCATGAGCAACTTCAGCTCTAGGTAGGCAGATACAAAAAGATCACTGAAGGCATATAGGTCAGAAAGAAAATCCAGAAAATTTCTCTAAGGTTAAACTAAGTTTCTGAACATTGTCTTTCTTGACCAAAAATATGTGTCTTCAAAGAGAAATTAAATATAGAAACCAATGTCATAATAATGATATTACAAAAGTAGATGGGATCCACTGGGTGATATATTCCCATAATGCCAGAAATATTAAAAGAGACAAGATAGGTCAGTACTGGCAACTATTGTGTTGAGCAAAGGCCCAGAGCCATTGTTGTAATAGTGAATGTTTGGAGACATTTTTTGATTGTCAAAACTGAGCAGAGAGTGATAGTGACTGCTTGTAGGTGGAAGCAGAGGATGCTGCTTTTTCCTACAACATGTAAGTCAGTCCCAACGATAGAGAATTATCCAGCCCTAAATGCCAGTAGTGAAGGCGTTAAGACACCCTGGTCTAGAGAATCAGGTGAAAGTGGTTGATTTTTACCAAAGCAGGGCCAGCATCTGCATTTTATCTAAGTGTACACAGAAGGAAGGGAGCACCACACTTATTATCATCACCTCCTTGTGCCTAAACAGGTGTCTGGATACTCCCTAATTGTCCAGGCAGTAGATGGTGGAATTCCTGCAATGTCGTCAACTGCAACTGTCAACATTGATATTTCTGATGTGAATGACAACAGCCCAGTATTTACACCTGCCAACTATACTGCTGTGATTCAGGTAAGCAAATCTTGACTGTAAGGCACTTGTATGTATGAATTCAGCCTCTGTCCTCTGATGTGGTTTACTCATTGTCTTAGTGAGTTAGAGGTGCTATAACAAAATAACTTAGACTAGGTAATTTATAAACAACAGAAGCTTATTGCTTCTGTTTTGGAGGCTGGGAAGTCTAATAGCAAACTTCATCAGATTCTCTATCTGATGAAGACTTGGTCTTTGCTAGATGTTGACATCTAGCTGTGTCTTCAAAAGGTAGAAAATGCTAACAAATTCTTGGACCTCTTTTATGAGAACATTAATCTTTCCCAGTGGATCTTACATTGAATACTGTTTCATTGAGAATCTTCTATCAACAAATGAAGTTGAGGAGGACACAGACATTCAGACCATAGCACTCATTAGACCTTTTGTTATTATTACTTAATATCTACTTGTCCATTCACAGAGCAGGTATGAAAAGAGCCTGGTTCTTCTGACATAACTGATGAATAAATATTAGTAAGAAGTTGCAAGGACCAGATTCTTTCAATGTTAGATGCTTTATGTACACAATCTGTCCCTACAGCAATCTGTGAAGGGTCATTGTGGGTTAACTCCCAATTTACAGTTGTAGGTCAAGTCGTTCATTCAAGGCCATATAGCTGATGAGTGGCAGAGTCAGAATTTGAACTTGAGTTGGTTTCCTGAAAAAAAAAAAAAAATCCTCTCTTTTCATAATGCCAGACTATCTTTAACCAATTTTGTGCTATTCTGTCAGAGGAGGGAGATTGACATGAACCATCTCATCAGTCAAAGGGAGGTTAGTCATCAGGATAGAGCTGCTACTCATTAAAATTAATGTTCCATAAGCAATTTGTATGGCACTTTAACTACATCTGCTCTTTAAAATTAGATTTCAAGATAAAGTAACATACTGCTGGAGTTCTGCTCTCAGAGAGAATGAATTTCCTTTCCATTTATTTTTTTATTCACAAGATATGTCATGAGCTCAGTACCAGAAGCTGAGCTTCTTCTATCTACTTTCCAATATTTCTAGAGGCTAAAAGCCCAACTTTAGAAGGACTGGGAAATCCATCCTAAGAGTACTGTGGAGGACTTGGACTAGATAGAAATTGATGTGTCCTGGCACAGATACTGATTCCAGTTTGGTCTCAGAATCATCCAGGGCTTTGCAGGTAGAAGGAAAGATGAGAGTGGGCCAAGTCTTGAGAGCCCTCTGGGATAACCTTAAAGTTGTGGAGTCTGACCATTTACAGCTCCTCTCTCCTGCTCCCAGTCTGCTGAATTGTCGAGAAACCAGGCCTAGAGGTAGTCGTGAAGCAAGCAGCCATCCGCTTGTCCCCAGCCCTTTGTTAGCACAGTGCTGCTCCTCCCTGGGAGAATTTGCTTTCCCTTCCTCTGATGTGTCTTTCAGCAGCTGTGAGTGTCGATCACTGTGCTGCTTCAACCAGAGCCTTCACTGTCCTCCATTTCTTTCTCTCAGATTGCTGTGTCAGTGACTGTCATCCACCAGAGAGCTCACTCTCTCTGTCTTTTCACCACCGTATGCTTTACCCAAAATAAATGGGCTCTGCCTACTCAACATTCAGCTTTATAGCGTGCATCTATCAGCCTGACAGACTATTTTCAAATGCACAACAGGACATCAGTGGTGAAAGAACACAAGTCTCAGCCTGTGAGTGGTGGCTGGGTCTCCTCTCCCCAGAACTGGGCCTCCCTGTGGTACTTTACACCCTGCTTTCTCAGGTAGTAACCCCAAGGGCACACATTCTCATTCTCTTCCTCTCTCTGTGGAGAAAACAGCCTTTATAGAGTACGCAAATAAAGCAATAAATCTTTTGTTTTGTGCAGTGCTGAGTATGTGGTCACTGTGAAAGAGTAAATCTTCTCTGAGCTGAGGCAGTCTCATGGCGGGCTCAAGAGGACGCCGTGTCTAGTTCTAATAGACACCTCTAGTACCAAGAGGTGCTTGTGAGAAGGAGTTAATAAGAGGCCTTTGAGACTCTCCTTTCTTTTTTTTTTTATTTTTAAAAAAGGAAAACATGTTAACAAACAGACATCCATTTACAAAATAGTATAAGAATAATACAAACAATACAGAGTTACAGACAAAGTTGTAGGAAATTAACAATGGTTGTTGTATTACATATTGATATCTTCAGAGTGGGGTGTGGGAGACTCTCCTTTCTTTCTCCATTAAAATAGGTACCTCCCTTCCCCATCCCAGAATAACTTCTTCATTCCAACACGTAGCTTTCATTCAGACAAATTCAGCACATAAAACTTGATTGGGCCTGCAGCGGTCATTGTCTCTGTGACCAAACTCCCTTAAATCAATGTTGTGAGGAGCCTGAACATTCAGCTGACTGCAGACCAGTGCAGGTTGGATAATGCTGAGGTCCAAACAATGGGGCAGGGAAACCTATGCCTGAGCCACAGAATTTAATCCAGCACTTTCAAAGTGAAGATAACTTCTGACCCAAGAAGAAGCTAAAATGAGTCGTTGTTTTCCCAAGAGGAGGGAAAAGTAGAAAGATTTGCAAAATAATGACTACATAATAGTACCTGGGTTTCCAATAATTCTGACAAAGTTGAAGATTCTCTTCTCTTTACTCTGAAGTTGAGAAATATTCTACCTGCTTTCTCTCACAAGGCAAAACTGTGTTCTGGGGGTGTATGTAAAAGTTCCATACTCCTCCTGGCATATGTCTTTGTGTATTGACTGGGCAGCAGCCAGCATGTTACCCAAGATGTCTGATGTTGTGACACTATGTGACAGTGGTGCTCAAGCATCAGCATAATTTGGGTTGTGATACGTGTGAGGAATGCCTTTCTATTCCAAGAAGATGAGTTTTTGTTGATCTGAGAGAATTTCAACACAGTCACAAAGGTTGGAAAGAGTCTTCAGGGGCTCTACAAGCCAGTGGAGAGCAAGATGTATCCCATGGCATCGATGGACAGTACCAGCTACTCAAACAAGGGCCTGTGTTCTCACCTGTGGAGCACCATGTCAAGGGGGAGTAGCGGGGAGGTAGCCACAGATGGGAAATATGATGCTGGCAGAGGCCAGTATGCTTTCAAAGACAAGATAATATCACAGGGAATCCCTTCCACTGAAAGCCTGGTTTTCTATCATAGCACTCTCCATCCACAATAGAGGCTTTTTTTATTATTATTTTAATGTGAAGAGAGATGTAATTTTATCTTCCTTTTCACTATATACTTTCATGCAGGAAAATAAGCCAGTGGGGACCAGCATCTTGCAGCTGGTGGTGACAGACAGAGATTCCTTCCACAATGGGCCTCCCTTCTCATTTTCTATTTTGTCGGGAAACGAAGAGGAGGAGTTTGTGTTGGATCCTCATGGGATCCTTCGGTCAGCAGTGGTTTTCCAGCACACGGATTCTCCAGAATATGTGCTGTGTGTTCAGGTATGGCTTTACTCTCTATCCACTTTAGACTGCCTTTCTCTCTAGTGCATCTTTCTCTCATGTGGTTGAATTTTGTTTGTTCAGCAGGTCACCATTATTCCTTACTATGAAGGAATGCTCTCCTTTCAAACTCAAATTCAGTTTCACACCAATAAAAATGGCCTCTGTGTGTGAAATTGAACAGGAAGGAAGGGAAGCGTCACTGTTCAGAATGGACTTTTCTATTGCTTACACCCAGCAGACAGTTACTAGGCCTAAATCTACATTCCGAAAATTCCCAAGGTCCTAAATGACCCACAAAGACAATTATTTGGTCAATGCTTGCTGCTTTGTACTGAGTATTATTCATTGCATTACTCCACCTGAGGAAGCTATCAATCTTGTCTTACTGGGATTTAGACTTATCATGGCTTCTTCTTGGTACACCTTCCCCGTGAGGCAAGAGGAAACCAAGGACCCAGCTGGCAGTAGTTTCCCACAGTCTAAGTTCCTCAAGGTCACTCGCCTGTGTGACACAAATGAAGCAAAAGTAAAAGGCATGCAAAGGCTATATAATGAAACAAGGAGCACATAAAACTCTCAGCAGAGGAACTTTGCTAACACCAAGATCTGGATCCCATGAGTAAAACAGTAATTTTTTAAGCCCACAGTTAATCATAGGTGCAACCTAGACCCAATATGAATGGTGGCAGTGATAACAATAGTCATTTTTTGGTATTTGTATAGCATTTGTCTATGCTATTTCTTTGGATAGGTTAAACTCATTCAACTGCACAAAACCATCCAAATTAGTAACGTTGGCTCTGAGCAGGTCAAGGAACTCTTCAGCTGTGCCACCATTCCTTCAAAAATATTATGTGAACAATTTTCTATCACATTATAGACTTCGAGGTACAGCAGACATTTTCAGCGTTAGCTGAAAAGCCAGATGTATGAGCACCGAAGCTAAGATTCCAGGTCCGATCTGTGGCATCTTGGCACTTGCTCTTATATTACCTTTCTTGTACAAAGACACTTTTCCTCAGCTCCTGCCAGGCCTGCAAGACTGCTGTCACCATGCCTCCGCAGATCCCTGCCTGTTCGCCAGCCCCTGGGAATATGTCCTTCTTCTGAAGCAGTGTACCACTAACTATCTCCACCTTGCATGTGGCAGCTGCTCAGGAAAGATCTGTTGTCAGAGTGATTTGTTCCATTGATTTTTACATAAAGCAGCAAGAGAAAAGGGTTCTTTCATGCTACTTATTTTCTCTTTTTTGTGCCACTTTTTATTCTAAACCTCACTTTGATTTAATTCCCACTTAAATAATGTTGTTTTTTAAAAATGTGCGGAAAGGTGCCATCTAGTCCAGTAAAAAGGAAAGAATCCAACAGAGAATAAAGATTCCTTCTCTAAGTGGAAATACCGTTTTATGAGGTTTTTTCCTGTGGCTTCTGTCCAAAATGAAAACAAGGCGAGCCTGCTGTGGGCATGTTGGGTCTCGTAGCACTCCCAGCCTCCTTCCCAGTCCCCCTCACAACTGGTTTTATTGTGTTGACACATTTTATTGTCCATAACAAAATGTACATATGGGAACCAAAGGTGATAAATCATTCCTCTTACTTAAATGCTCATCCTTGGCATTTTTAAGAATAGTGACAGGGACAGAGGAAGAAGCAAATATGATTAAAGCTATAGACATCTTCTATCTGAAGAGTTTTTAAAAATTATGAGGATTTTTTTCTCAGTCCTTTATTTCTTCCCTTCTTGGATCCCCAGGCAAAGGATTCAGGCAAACCGCAGCAAGTTTCTCATTCCTATGTCCGCGTGAGGGTCATTGAGGAAAGTATTCACAAGCCCACAGCCATTCCCCTGGAAATCTTCATTGTCACCATGGAGGATGACTTTCCGGGTGGGGTTATTGGAAAAATCCATGCCACAGATCAAGATATGTATGATGTGCTTACATTTGCCCTGAAATCAGAGCAGAAAAGCTTGTTCAAAGTGAACAGTCATGATGGGAAAATCATTGCCCTGGGAGGCCTGGACAGTGGCAAGTATGTCCTGAATGTGTCTGTAAGTGACGGCCGCTTCCAGGTGCCCATCGATGTGGGCGTGCATGTGGAGCAGCTGGTCCATGAGATGCTGCAGAACACCGTCACCATCCGCTTTGAGAACGTGTCCCCCGAGGATTTTGTGGGTCTGCACATGCACGGGTTCCGGCGCACCTTGCGGAATGCAGTCCTCACCCAGAAGCAGGACAGCCTGCATATCATCAGCATCCAGCCCGTGGCAGGCACCAACCAGCTGGACATGCTGTTTGCTGTGGAGATGCACAACAGTCAGTTCTACAAGCCAGCCTACCTGATCCAGAAGCTGTCCAGCGCCAGGCGGCACCTGGAGAACGTCATTCGCATCTCAGCCATCCTGGAGAAGAACTGCTCTGGGCTGGACTGTCAGGAGCAACACTGCGAGCAAACCTTGTCATTGGATTCCCATGCACTCATGACCTACAGCACAGCTCGCATCAGTTTTGTGTGTCCACGCTTTTACAGGAATGTGCGTTGCACCTGTAATGGTGAGTGTGATTTAGAGAGTTCTTTCTTGTCTCCTCAGGCATTAGGAGTAGAAGTTCCTGGCACATAAGCATTCAGTCACCCATTCAGCTGAACATTGACTGATCACCTACTGTGTGCCCAATAACTATGACAGATGCTGACGCTGCAGGAGAGACATGACAAGCCAGTCCTCACTCCTGTAGAGCATTCGCACAGGGAGCAGCACAGACAGGCAGGCCCAGCATTGTTAGAAGTACAGAATCCTACGGGAAACCCAGTGACAGGGAAGGTTTCTTAAAGGGAGCATCCTGTCGGTTGCAACAAAGGTCAGGAGGGAATTAGGGGAGCGGAAGGAGAGTGTTCTGGGCAGGAAGCCGCGTGTCTGGGAAAGCTTAAGTGTGAGGGCAGAACTAACATGAGGAGATGGAAAAAGCTTTATCCTCACTGCAGCGAGATGGCAGAGATGACAAATGGACTGGAGAGCAGGCCCAGTAATCACACAAGGGCCATTAGCCAGGATGAAGAATTTAGAAATTATCCTCAGGCAGTGAGAACCATGGGCTGATTAGAAGTGAAGAAGTGACAAGATCAGCTCTGTCTATCACAAAGGGCGTGGAGGGGAATGGATGAGAGAGGGGTCAGGCCAGAGGCAGGGAAACAAGTGAGAAAGCTGCTGCAGAGCGTAAGGGCAGTTCAGTTTACTTCAATAAAAACAAGGGCAGATGTTCAGGAGTACAGCCAAGGAGAGGATTCGACCCTCAAAGCCACAGAGACAGAATGAATGGCTTGTGCTTCCTGATGTAACTACAGTCATGGAGCCCTGACCTCTCCCGTTGAGAGGTCACAGCTGCATGGAGTCATATGGCTGTAGTGGTCAGTAAGAATGATTTCTTTCCTTCTCCTCTCTCAGATGTCTGGAGCCATAAAGTCACTGCCTCCTCAGAACACTACTGGATTTGGTGTCAACTTGGTCCACAGAGACCATAGTCATAGGGGAGGCCATTTGTGAAACATCCTTGAAGGGAACTAGGGACAGACAGCATCCCTGGCCTTTTCTCTTGCAGCAAGTTCTTGATTGTAGTTATTAGAGGGAGAACTGAGAGCTCATGGCTCCCTGTAAGAGATATATTGTACAGCGTCCAAGCAGTGCAGATGACACTCACTTCTGGACACTCACTCAGTTGTACCCAGTGAATTCTATTAGCTCTTTCATCAGATAGGTACAGTGATGATCAGACCTGTGGAATATGTAGTCACTGCAAAGTAGCTTACACTGTGCATGCTAACTGAAATACACTTCTGGCAGATTTCATCACTGTGCAGAATTTATGAACGCCAATTGCCTAGGCCTTACCTAGATTTCCTTCTCAAGGAAACTCATTTATGCATCAAGGCTCTGCTAAGGTCTCCATGCAGAGATTCACAGCAGGCTTCAAAAGGGTTTAGGACAGCACAGGGCAGCCTCTGCAGGAGAAACTCTACTAATCTAATTAATCCTTTTACTCTGAAAAATCCGAGCAAAAATCTGTGGAGGCAGCAGTGTCCTAGGCACTGAAGATTCAAACTGAAACAGACTTGTCTCTTCTTTTGGAACCCGACTATGGTGAAACCAGCTTGCAAGCACCTACATGCTGAAGTACTTCCAAATTACATGCTAGAGAGCAGAAAGCACAGAGTGGCCCTCTGTGATATTTACACAGAGGAACCGTGTATTTGCTAAGTCTTTGGAGATGAGTATGAGATCATTTAAAAGAGACAGTGGTGGGCAGGCTTTGAAGAATCTCTTTAAAAGAGGTACTTAGAGGGATCATGTTTGTTTGGGATAGAGGAGATTGATCTTTATTTTGTATAAGATTACTTTAAATGCAGAAAGTTTGAAGGGGATGTCCTTGCCCAGTCTTGTTACCTCTTCCTGTAAACCTCTCTGCTCCCAGTAAACCAAGAAGCCGGAAATCTTTGTCATTCCACCCCTCAAGAGCCCAAGAAGAGGCCTTTTGAGTTTGAAAACAGCATTTCTTCACTGAGAGCTCTGTGTAGTCAGGCCAAGTGCTCGTCCTCTTCTCACCTTTGTCATTCTTCTAATTTAGCTATAAAATAAAATTATACATTTTAGTGGTAAAAGGAAATCAAAAGGCCCTCTGGTCCATCCTCATCCGCAGCAGCCGATGTGTGATAATCCCTACATTAGAAATGTGTAGCTGTGCGCCTCTCCGAGGGCCGCCACGCTGGTGAGAGTGGCATGCTGATTGAGGGTAGAGTCTCCACAGTACCCTACTTTATCACCTGCATCTTAATAACATGGTCTGTATTTGTTATTTGATCATAACCTCAGTGCTGTGTGCTCTATAGGAATATTCAGCCCCATCTCCTAGACTAATTGCCATTCTCCTGATACCATTCCAGGCAGGCAGAGTTCTCTCAGCCTCCAGGCTGCAGAGGGTTTACTGCAAGGGGTGAGCCCCACACTCAGTCATGGACAGTAGGTTTATGCCACAGCCTGGGAGCCTACCCATGCAGTCTGAGCGCCTAATGCTAGTGGTCAGGAAAACAAACTTGCACAAATTTTACAGCAAAAGAGAAAAACATTTCTTCCAAAGTTAAGGAAAAAGCTCTTCAATAGTAATCTCTCTCTCACTTCTAAAGTTTCCTTTTAAAGAAAAATACAATGAAGAATTATTAAAGTAAACAGTAGGCATTTTTAAGCATCTTCTCATTTATTCGAAAGGGGAAGCATTGAATTCAACAAATACTCTCCACACACACATATGCACATGTGCGCGTGCACACACACACACACACACACACACACACACACACTAATACACATGAGCCTAGGCTGCTCTTACGTTTACCCTGTGAGGCCGACAAAAATCATTAAATGGACTTTCCCAATGCTTGGTGGAGTAATTACTGCAATATCCATTCTGGCCTGTAGAGTGATGTTTATACAGATTCGGCCTCGGTGTTCTATCCTCTTCCCAACTTGCAACTCATCTTTTTCTCATGCAGATTTTTTGGGCCCAATTATTATCATTAACATCTTGAACCAAAATGCTGAGTTGTGCTAACAAAATGAAAGCAGACTTGAATTTTAAAGCCAAATAAACTATTAAATTCCAGCTACCATCTAGCATCATGTTTGAGCAGAACTTCAGAGGAGACAAAGTTCTGGTGTTAAAGATAGCTCCTGATGAACTTCAGATGTTCAATATTTTCACTTCAGTAAGAAAGTTTGACACCAATTTAAAACAAATGTGGAGTGATATATTCCCTGGAGCTGTACATAAGGGAAGTAAGAGGAAAGGGTACCAGAACAACCTACAGCACTGTAATGATTTTCAAGTTTTAAAATCTCATTGACTTAAAAATCTGATAAAAGTATATATCAAAAATGAGCTGAGGATATAGCTCAGTGGCACAGTGCCTGCCTGGCAGGCATAAGGTCATGAGTTTGGTTCCTGGTACCAGAAAAGAAAAAAGTCCAAAAATGACACACAGTCCATCCAGGAGAATGGACTCCCAATGAGACCATCAGAGTCTAAAGCTGAATGTGTTTATAAGGGTAATGACTGAAGTGTTTGCCTGATATGTCATTTTTATTCAGATGTGGAACACAGAATAGAATCTAGAGTTCCCAGTGAAATGAACGGAGCATTACCATGGATGAAGATGAGTGACGCAGTAGCTGTGTCCTCAGCTAGTGGAGGGAGAGCATTGTCATAGGAGGTGCTCGAGGTATTGAGAACACTGGAGCAATGGAGGTAATGCTGCCTGAGCAAGGTCTAGAAAGATGCCTAGAATTAGACAGGTGTCCAGGACAGTGAGTTTCAGGCCAAGGAACAGGAACTCCAAGGACATGAGGAACAGTGTGTACTTCAGTGCACAGATTAAGGCAGGAACAAACATTACAACTAATACATGTTGGTTTCCATGCTATTTTCCAGGCATGCATAATCGCACTGAACCTTCACTATGATCTTATAGAGTAGAAATCATTAACTTTCTTCAAGATTAATTAAACTAAGACTTAACAAGTTCAACTGATTTACTCAAGATCACAGAGTTAGTAAATGGCTGAACCAGGATTCTTCCTCAAGAGCATTTCTCAATAACTGAACCTTACCACCTCTGTACAGATTTGGAAAGAACTTGGCAGTTTCCCAGTCCTTGACATATGTAGACACCCTGTTTAATGTATTCTTGGGATGCTAATTCAGCCCAATTTTGATTACCAGTGCTAGAGGCTCACAAGACAGCCTTGAGATGATCTTCTGCCTTATACAGTAGTGCACAAAAATCCATTTCCTTGTAACACCATACAACTCTATCAATCCAATGATGGCAAATCTTTTAGAGCCTTCATTCATACAAACAGCCTGCCGAGGCATGCATGCCATATGTTTGCACCACTGCTTTAGACTCACACAGCATCTAATTGGTCTAACCACCACCTCTATAGCCGGCACTCTACATAGCTCAAGATAGTTGTTGTGACCCTTTGAATCTTCATGTCCTAGCCAAACAAGAGAAGTCTCTTTGCTCCTTGCCTGCAGACAAATATATGCTATAAAGAGTTATAGGTGCTATAATTGGGGCACAGAGGAGGCATAAAGGATGGAGTCATCAGTTCTATGTGGAGGAGTCTAAAAAAGGCTTTAGGAGCAATGAAGCTTGTTGTATGGTTTTTTGCCAAACAGGGAATGTATTCTGAGCAACAAAAGCTGTGAAGAAAAAGACTCAGATCTTGGGTACCACTTTGTTTGCACATTCGCTCAGCAGCTCTATACTGTCTTCCACTGTTTTCCCTGGACAGGGTGCTGTGGATACATAATGAAAAGGTTCGTGTGGTCCTCATCTCCATGAAGCACGGCACAGCATCACAGCATTAGGCAGATGCCAAGAAGCTCAGTTGGGCTGGATGGGCTGGAGTAAGGACAGTCCTTGGGAGGGGTATGGTAGGGACAGGTAAATGGAACCTGCTGGTAGGTGGCCATGGAGATGAACTTCTGATCAGCACAAGAAAGTAAAAAGCAGTACAATACTTGACCTTATGAGTTTTTACAATAAATAAAGATCTGAAATTGAGTTTATTTTGAGGTTAGGCTTTGTTAATACTAATTGAGGAGGGAGCCAGTAGCACCAATGCCAGTACTATGAATGACTGCATTATTGTATCTGAATCTTAAAAAAGAAAGGTCCCCCTACAAATGGGGAAGTTTCTATTTTCTATTCATAAGTCTCTGCAGATCCCTCATTTCTAGTACACATGAGTCCCAAGTACAGGAGAGGTTTGACACTGCTTCTTATATTTTGCCATTCATGCACATGGTCCCCAGGGACAATGAAACTACAGTCATCCTTTAGTGAAATCATATCAAAAAGATGGCTGAGTCAAGAAAAGAACATTCTGGGGAGTCTCTGCCTCTGGGCCCATACAAGAGACTACTTCAAAACACAGGTCTCAGGAAAATGTACTGTTTTAGAACACTTCCTACAGGCCATGAATTAAGAAGGCAGCTCACTGGCTTGCATCGCATTGGCCAGGACATGGCATCTTCGCAAGCGCATTCTGGGAGTGGGATGTTTACCACTGGTTATTGGATTCCTTGGTGTAATAAGGCAGAGGCATAAATCAAGAGGTTGAGTCAGCTTAAAGTGGCAGCACAATAATCACAGCTAGATACCAATGTTGGCTTATGGTGTAGAGCAATCCAGGGGGCTGTAGAGATGCTGTGAAGAGAAGGAGAGGAGAGACCCTCTCCCTGCACATTCCAAAGCATTGAAGCTTCTGTTCAAGGGAACTGTCTGTTGTCAACACTAGAGAAAGTAACCGGAAATTACACCTGAACAAACCTTCGGGAGGTGGAAAACCTTCTTCCAGAGACTGGTCACACTGTGTGCACATTTGTCCTGGTGGAGAAGCTTATGGGTAAACACTAGCTGCCCCAGAGACAGAGAAGGTGGTGCAGACACCCAGAGCACATGCCTGGGATGCTGATGCCTGAAGGCTCTAGGCCTTAGTTTATGCCTTCCGTGCACATGTATTTTCTATCATCTGTCAACCTACAACACATAAATCTGACCCAAAAGCATAGCATGTAAAGGTTACCCTGAGCTCAGCTCTCTGTCATTCTGCCAGGTCAACTTGATGCTTCCGGGCTTGAGAGCTTGTTTAAATATTTTTAAATCTTTACAAGTTGCTTTCACATCCACTAGCCCACCTAATTTTCACAACGCTATGAAGAATCATATTCTGACTTTTTTGAAAAGAAAATGGGAACCCAGAAAAGCCAAGGAACTAGTGCAAGGCTGCACAATGATTAAATCAAGTAACTAGACAGGGCCCAAACCAGGTCTGCAGCTTGTCAGTGCAATCAGTAACCTTTGCCTTTACACAACTTGCATTCCCAAGGGGACTGAGAATGAGGACCAGACCCTGCTCTCCCTGCTTTATGTTGTGACAGGAAGCTCAGATCGTCTGGTCCTGCCCTGGCATACAATAAATGGTGTCGGTGAGCTTGACAAAGTGGGAGCCTTTCTCCCTTCATGCTCAAACTGGTACCAAATTGATGGATGCCTGGAGATGCAGAGCATGCAGGAATGCAAGTCCCCATCCCCCAAGCTGTCACTGAACACAGCACAAGTTCATTAAACCTGGATTATTTAATGATAGTTAATAAGATAAACTTCCTCCCAGAAGCCAACAGGAGTTGACACTTTGTCTCTTAACTGGTACTCAGGAGCTGATGAGGCACTTTCTGCCAGAAGAGAGCAGGTCTTTAAAGCTCTTAACAATCATAGGTATATACACTTCCCTGAAAAGGGGATGATGTAAACATGTGATTTCTAAAAGCAAGTTAACCCCTCAGCATCCACTTAAAGCATAGTGAATTTTATGTAGCTAGAGAACTTAGGCCTTAAACTGGAAAAAGCTTCATCCAGACCTAGGTCGGTCTGAGGTCCAGGGTCACAGGACACTTTTCAGGGTCAGTGTCCAAAAGTCAAGTCCCCCTAATAATATACATTTTAGAAAGGACCTAATTTGTTATTGTGGTTTACAGAAAAGAAAGGACTGCAGTGCTGGGTATGGCGAATACTTAATTTTGAGGCACTTGTTTTTCAGTGACTTTGTAAGTCTTTCCTAGGAACAGAACACAGTTCGTGCACATAGTCACTTCTGTCCCCAGCCAGGGAGAGTGCTGCGTGTACAGTGACCTGCAGACTCTAACCTGCCTTCGTGCTTCCTTAAGCCACCCAAGAGCGAGCCTGTGAACACAGCAACCTGAAGCAGCCGAAGATCGAATGTTTGTGGCTTAGTTTGTCCCAGTCTATGGCATGAGGAGGAGACCCCAGAGGATTTTGAAAGGGTTTTGAAAGCATCAGGGGACACATTCCTTGCCAAAAACTCTTCCCTTGACCCTGAAGAACCCACTCAAAGCAAAAAGAGTATGTCAAAATTAATAGCTGCTGGAGTGAATATGAATATACATTATATCTCGTTTATTTTAATATTATTTATAAAATGTACTTGCTCTAATATTTATAGTAATATTTTTAAATATATCCTTGAGCCACATTGTTCATAGTAGGGGTTAGATCTGGCATAATCCTTGAGCTGGTGACTATGACTTAATGTATGAGTTGCTATGCACAATAACACAAGGAAATAAGAGGACTGGTGAGTTTGTACATTAACTCAGAGTCAGAGATATAGGTCAGAGATATGAGTCACTACCCCCTGTTAATGATAGGTGAAAAACCAAACATATGAGTAAAAAGTAGAAATACCCAAATTCTGAATTTGTACTAAAATACAGCATTTAGCTTTTATTATAAACATTTATAGATGTTTTGTTTTTTAAAATATGTGACTGTGATTCCTACAGTAATAAACAGCTTTGCTCTCACAGGTCTGAAATTATCTAGCCCTATTTTCTGCTTTGAAACTGGCTTTTCAAGTGGATTTATGGTAATCCAAGATTTTTTAGCAAAGCAGTCATTATATAAAAGCAGAGCAGCTGTGTATCAGAAACATAGCAATTGATAGCGTATTTTTAGACTGCCTAAAATAGAAGATGAAAATAAAAGAGAACAAGGTATGCCCACAGACTGAAAAACGTCATACTTTTTACAAACATAAACTATGTCTAACTGGAAGGTAATGCCCAACTAATCCAGAAGTTACATAATATCTTATTTCATGATATTTATGTGCTTGCATGGTGATGTTATTTCTTTTCATGTTTATATGTCCAGGCCTATTATCTCACTTTCCTTGAACACTTATTTTACTCCACTAACTTAGAAACAATTTTTTGAATGAATTCAACAATTATTATTTTGTTCTTGTTGTTGTTGAATGAATGTGCCAGAAGTTATTTTAAAAATGGTTATCAAAGCCTCTTGAAGTCAGCATGAGATGGTCAAACAGCTGTTTTAATTTCCATGAGTACTGCTCAATATATGACAAAAAATAAAAATTTGGAGAGAAGAAAGTCAGAAGATATATTTCAGGACACACGGGTCTTGTAGAACCATTTATAGAGATCATTCTAATTTTTCAGTTAAAATGCCTTCATATTCTAAGACTTTGTAAGCTGGATCATTGCCAAAAGTGCCTTTTATGATGAATCTGTACACCAGTGGAAAATAGGATTTATGAATTCTGAGTTTGTTGGTGCTACTTACATTGCTCCTCTCACACACTGCATTTTTAAAAATGTTTGTATGCAGTTTGCATTACATTTCTGCTTCCTCTTGGACAAAAAAAAAATTACTGTGTCATGGGACTATGTGTTTAATGATGAGGAAAGAACCATTATGGAGAAGGATGTGATAATGTGTCCGCTCTTGCCAAGGAACAAAGCCACTGATGTCCAGGGCATTACAGGTTCAAGGAGAAGAGACGCTCCCTTAGGCCACTGCTAACCCATCTAGGAAATTACTGCTTCTGTTATGGGTTAGTTTTAATTCAGGTCTCCTTTCCTGCAGTCCTGTTACCACTTAAACTCTTACAGGATTGGAAGGGGCCCAATTACACTTGAAAGATGCAGGATCATGGAAAAGAGCACTTCCTTCAGTGGACCCATATCTGCCCTCACCACAGCTCTGACCTAACTCACTTGGGTCCTGGATTCTGCCTTAATCAGTTAATCTGCTTTCCAGGATTTCCCTTTTGAGAGACTAACCTTTCATCTTTCTATGCTGTGAACATCAAACAGATAGAAAGGAAGCCTTCCTTTGCCAAGGGTAATTCTACTATTTTTGATAGCTGCTAGGGCACACTTAGAGCTAATCAATAAAATAGCATGTACCAGGAAGAATTAGGAAACAATGTGAGCTGTACTTTCACAATTTAGTCAGACTTTTCTTTAGAAATGTCTTTTTTCCCTGCCCTGGATCAACAGCTAACCTCTTCCGCAGCCTATTCTCCAATCTATCTGGGCAGAGACAGGCTGTATAAGAAATCTAAACCCAGGTGATTGGTATGCAGCTCCCTGTCAAGTGCAGAATATCACTCCAATAAAAACTAGCAGAGGCTTTGCATGTGATCTTTCTTCATCTGAAGTTGGTCCAAGTGCAACTTTAACATATTTTAGCCTTAAAGAAGGAATTTTATTTACTGTTTCCACCTAACTGGTTGTGATCTGACAGTGAGCTTTCAGCAGATGGAGAAACACATGATGGGCATCTATTGGGTGCTTTTGCTCCTGGGTGGCTTGTTACTCAGCTCAGATACTATAGAACCAAGCTCTTGAAATATTCTTGTGCTTGCTAAAATTTAAGGTGATTCCTTTGTATACTGACCATGCATATTACCCCTCTTTGTCACAGGAGGACTGTGCCCAGGATCCAATGATCCTTGTGTGGAGAAGCCATGCCCAGGGGATATGCAATGTGTTGGCTACGAAGCTAGCAGGAGACCGTTTCTCTGCCAGTGTCCACCAGGGAAGCTCGGAGAGTGTTCAGGTGCAGAGTGGCATGGATTAACAAGAGTCTAATTTCATACTAGTGAAACACTAACTCTTGAGTAGAATACATTGCCCAGGCCATTCCAGAAGATGTTTATTGCCCAGTGTGGTGGTGCATGCCTATAATCCCAGCACTGGGTAGGCTGAGGCATGAGGATTGTTACGAGTTTGAAACTAGCCTGGGCTACAAAGTGATCTCAAGGCCAGCCTGAACTGCATAGTGAGACGCTGTCTCAAAAAGACCAAAAAAAAAAAAAAGATGTTTATTGCCCAGTGTGGTGGTGCATGCCTATAATCCCAGCACTGGGTAGGCTGAGGCATGAGGATTGTTGCGAGTTTGAAACTAGCCTGGGCTACAAAGTGAGCGCAAGGCCAGCCTGAACTGCATAGCGAGACCCTGTCTCAAAAAGACAAAGAATAAATAAAATTTTTTAAAAAAGAATTATTGAATTGCTTTTGATGGTCTAGAA